AGAAAAAAAAAAAAAAAAAAAAAAAAAAAAAAAAAAAAAAAAGTGTAAGTATTAGCCAATAATTTAACTACTATCAAGTTATTCTACAATACGTTAAGTTGGATTCTGAGTTTTCAAAATCTCACCTGTTCACATTACAAATATAATTTTATTAGCTCCAATATATTAGGATACATTTTTCCTAGCTGAAATGAAAAACATTATTAGACTGTTTGAGTTTTCTGTTTCAGACTACTCTGGGGCTAAGTACAATGTACCTCTCTGCTGACCACAGGCCTGCAACATAAATTATATTCTCTTTGCTTTCATAGAGATTTTAAATAGTTTGTGGGTTACAAACCTAAATGGCTTTTGGGGAAAAACTGGCAGGGGTCAGGTGCTATGCTACTGCTTTGCTATGGGGAAAGTCTTTCTTGGGAAGTGGTTTTAACATGGAGGGCAGTGTCAAGAATTCATTTGTCTACTTTCAATCTTATTTGTAATACATTATGTCTAAAACTTGTAAACTTTGGACTAATCTATAGTGATTTATGTTTCTCTTTTCATTACTTTAAAAAATTTTTATTTTAAAAATCTTCCTATTCTTTCATCAGTTTTAACTTTGGATTGTTTTTTACATTTCAGTGTGCTCACTTAAAGAAATATTTATAGAGTTCCTAACAGTACCAGAAAAATGCACAAGGCTCTAGAGGTATAAGAAAAATAAGCAAAATCTTTGACCTTGAAAAGTTCTCTCTGGGTACAGAGAGGGAAAGAGCATCAGTGTCATGAGGTCAGTGATGTGATAAAGGTGTGCTCATGATGCTATCAAACTGAAATGAGGACCATAGAACACAGCAGTAGTTTTCACCAACGAGAATTAACTGAGACATTTTCAAAAACTGAAATGAGGACCATAGAACACAGCGGTAGTTTTCACCAATGAGAATTAACTGAGACTCTTGGCTCATTGTCTAGGGCTTGATTTAATTAGTCTAGTGTGGTGGCATTATTTTTAAAAGCTCCCCTACCACTCTCCATCTGGAAGTTACTGTACCACTAACTAAGCTGCTATAATTTCTCAAATACAACAAACATGGGATTCTTTATTCTATATGCTGTTAATTCCTTTTTGAAATTAACCATTCCATTCTTCATTCCTATCTGCAACTCTTAAGTTTTTATCAAATACTACTTCCGTAGAGAGATTTTCCCAAATCCTAACAGGTAGGTTTAAGGGTGTTTGTTTTTTCCGTGTTTCTGCCTGCAGCCTTGACTAAAAGCATTAATAATGTCTTTACTAGAGCTATTATCCACATGGCTTAAGTGCCTTGTTTGTATGTGTGTGTGTATGTCTGTGTATGGTTTAAGCTCCTTGGGCAAGGTCTGGCATATGGGCAAAAGAACGTGCTGAAGAAATCACTCCTTGCTTTCAAGGGACTTACAATTTAAAGGACTTTTTCTTTTTAAACAACTCTGGTGTTACTTTGAAGGTTGTACACTGTAAATCATTTTTTAATGGAAAAGATTTTCAAGTAATTGATCCTGTCTTTTCTGCCTGAAGTGTGCTTAAGCTGATAATGTCCATGATTTTGTTTGTGTTCAGATTTCATATTCTGCCTCATTTAAAGCCATCAATGAGCAAGTGACAAATGGCAGATAAAATCGCCAAATATGATATTCTTTAAACATTAAGTTTCAGTTTTGTTTCCTCTCCAGTGAATTATCATAAGCATTTTGTTTTGGTTTTCTTCATCAAACCATTTGGGTTCCCCGGATAATTCTCCTGACCACATGATCAAATTTGATTAAGTCCAGATTACTTGGCCATTATTCTTCAATTCTGCTAATCAACCACTGTTTTGATTTTTCAGATTTATATGCAAGTTGAAGTTCAGCTACAAAAAGATACCAATTATTTGAAAATTATGCAGTCTTGGAACAGGTAGGCTGAAAGATGGGAAAGTGAGGGTAACAACAAGAAAACATTGGATTTAAGCTATTAAATTTGGTTTCATAAAACTAGTCTAGTGGCATAATCTCCATTTGTAGATATCAGTTACATTTATGGTTGTGGTCAGGTAGGTTAAAGTATAGGGAGGAATACAGGATATTATGGGGGTACATAAGCAGCTATAGTGAAGAATGGCAAATAACTGACTTTGACTTTTACCTGGCAGAAAAATATGTTTCATATATATGCTATTTTAATCTTTGGTTTATTAGTAAGGCATTCATTTTCTCTAGTTTCTTCCATTATGATCCTTAGCATGGATGAGAATCTATTCTAGGAAAGTGACCAAATCCATCGGTTAACAATTATTCCACTAACAGCACGTTAACCAATAGTCTTTGTGTTTCATCAGGTGCAACATGTGTGCCACTCCAGTAGAATACTCACCATTCCTTGTGATAATGAGCCATGAGGAAACTAATTTACTGTCATATGTAATAATAGCACTAGTGGCCAACAGAATGTTTTTTGTTTTTTTATGAAATGCTCAGGTAATATTTGGCTTCATAATTTATATGCTTTTTCATAGAGGGTATTAATAAAATCCTATTAATTTGAATTTTCTCATTTTTCTCTTTATATAACATGAAATTGAACCTATCTAAAGAACCAATGAATGGAGCAAACCAATCCATAGTATCTGAATTTGTACTCCTGGGACTCTCCAATTCCTGGAAGATTCAGGTTTTTCTTTTTTTCTTTTCTTGTCTCTTCTATTTATCCAGTTTGATAGGAAATCTCCTCATAGTCATCACTGTAATTTCTGACCCTGACTTGCATTCCCCCATGTATTTTCTGCTGGCCAATCTCTCTGTCATTGATCTTATATTTTGCTCCATTGCCACACCAAAGATGATTAGTGATCTTTTTAGGAAGCTGAAAGTCATCTCCTTTGGGGGCTGTATAGCTCAGATATTCTTTAGCCATGCTGTTGGAGGCACTGAGATGGCCCTGCTCACAGCCATGGCCTTTGACAGGTATGTAGCTATATGTAAGCCACTGCACTACTTGGCTATCATGAGCCCGCGGGTATGCATTTTTATTTTAGTAGCTGCCTGGACTATTGGTCTCATTCATTCATCAGTCCAGTTGACTTTTGTGGTAAACTTGCCCTTCTGTGGCCCTAATGTGTTGGACAGCTTTTACTGTGACCTTCTTCACCTCATTAAACTTGCTTGCATAGATACTTATAAGTTACACTTCATGGTCACTGCTAACAGTGGGTTCATTTCCTTGGGTGCACTGTTCATGCTCCTGTTCTCATACTTCTTCCTCCTGGCTACTCTTAAAAAACATTCCTTAGGCAGTTCATCCAAGGCTGTTTCCACTCTGTCTGCTCATATTACTGTGGTGGTTTTATTCTTTGGTCCACTTATTTTTTTCTATACGTGGCCCTCTCCAAAAGATATGGACAAATTTCTAGCCTTATTTGATGCAGTTTTGACTCCTTTCCTAAACCCAGTCATCTACACATTTAGGAGTAGAGGAATGAGGGTAGCAATGAGGAAGGTGTTCAGGCAGCTCTTGGGTGTTAGAAAACCGTGTCTTGGTGGAAAGACAGAATCTCCAAGTGACTCCTGGAAATCATAATGGCCAATCCACTTGAAGAGGGACTTTCTACTTGGCATTACTTTGAGTGCTCACAGACATTCATCATCTATATGGGTATCTATTTTGTCCCCTTGGAAGAATGTGTGATATTCTTTCTTGAAAAGAAAGTTAGATATAAAAAAATGTACTACCCTAGAAGTAAAGATTATCTTAGTTCTATCTTTCTAATTACCAAAGAACAGTGCCAATGGTAGTTCTCACACATGCCAATGATGTAAATAAGTTTGTTTCTGAGGATAACTTGTCTCAAGCTGTACTGCCCTATAATTATATAATTGGTAACACTATGCCTTGTCTGTTTACATCCTACATCTCCTTTTTGATTTGTTCTGCTTTGTTATCACAACCATTTAGTTATAAGTAAAAATATTAATTATCTTTGAGATTTGTGATCACATACAGTCCAATCCTCAGATCTTGCTTCCATAATTTGTTCCATAGCTGAAGATTGTTACTTATTTTTTAATCAAACAGATTGTGTATTGATAAATGTTTTGTAAGGGGCTAGATTCTAAAGTGTTTTCCTCTTTGAGCTATATGATTTTGTTGCAGCCACCGGATTTTGCTGTGGCAATGTGAAAACAGCCACAGACAAGACAAAAATGAATGGATATGCCTGGGATCCAATGCGAATTTATTTACAGAAACAGCAGTAGGCTGGATTTTACCCAATGGTGAGAGTCAACTACCCCTGAAGTAATTGTGCCTAGAGGGTAGGTACCTATTCTCCCAAATATCATAGTCTTTGTCTTACAGCGAGAGTCTAAAATGAAAAGCAGGATATTATAACACAACATTTTCAGTTAAAATAGAGATTCAGATTTTAATAGCATGAAGTAACATGTTGTGGCAATTCATATAGTTCACTTAACCACTCTGAAATTATATTCTTTCTTTAAAAGAGGCAACAGAACTCAGTTTTGTGCTGATGATTAAGTCAAATGGTATTTGAAAAGGCTTTATCCTTTAAAAATTAGCCTGGGTTCCTTTCCTGAATTGTGATTATCTGCTTTAAGTCTGTCGATTTAAAAGAAAATTTATCTTGTAGTTTATGCATCACACATTAAGTTTATCATCTACTTTTTCTTTATGTTTCATGCTCTTGCAAACAAAAATTATCTTATGATTATTCTCCTGGATCTTGTGTTACATTTATTATGAGGTATACTTTCATATCTTTGTGTCACCTGTAGAACTGAAGATTTTTTTCCTTTCTTCTTTTCATTTGTAAACGTAATAATAACTAATATTCATTTAGTAACTATCAAATGCCAGGCATTGCTTTTAGTTTTACCTCTCAATTCATTTTATCCTTACAACAGCTTTTGGATGGAAACTACCATTATCCTCATTTCACAAATTGGGAGATGGAAGAACAAAGAGGTCAAGTAATTTATCAAAGTTTAGTAAATGGTAGGTTTAGACTTGAACCCAGGCAGTGTGCCTCCACAACCTGGATTCCTAATCATTTTGTTACTTCTTTTTAATATTAATGCTGGTGAACCCTACCTGAAATTTATTCATTTCAGGCCAATTTTCTATACCTTTCCCCCGCTATATTCATACCAATGCCTACTAGATGGTAAAATAATTATAAAATAAGTAAATTATTTTATGACCATATGATGTGGAATTATGTGCATGGTTTAGCTAATAATATGCAAATAAATTAAAAAGTGAAAAAGGAGGAAATACAACAATTATGAATTGAATGTTTGAGGTTTGTGCAGTGGCAGTATATAGGTTTATCTGAGGTGTGATTATTGCTAATTGAAAAACTGGATATTTGTAAGCTGAACTGTCAATAGTAATGTTTTCTAAGGTTGGAGAAAATAGATGACCTTTACTGTCTTCTTGCATTTATCTGTTAATTTTAATTTTTGCATTTATTTATTTAAAATAGAATGTATACAATTTATTATGTACATACCATTTTGAAATATGTATATATTTGAGGAATGGCTAAATTATGTTAAGTAACATGTATTATTTTATATTCTTTATCACTTTTTTGTGGTGAGAACTCTTAAAAAATCAATTCTCTTAACAATTTTCAAGAATAAAGTATTATCTATAGTCCATATGTTGTACAACAGATGTCTTGAACTTACTTTTCCTAACTAAAATTTTCTATTTGATAAATCCACTCATCTTACCTACCTTGTGATAATCACCATTGTACCTTCTATTCTTTTTAATTTGAAAGTTTCTAGACCTCACATGTAAGTAATGCCATGTGTTATTTGACTTTCTGTGCCTGGTTTGTTTTAGTTAATATAATGCCCTCTAGGTGCATCCACATTGCTTAAAATTGTGGAGACTTTGTGGAAACCGGCATCCTTGTGGATGATGGTATTGTATGTCTAAGAATGGTATTAGTTTCCTGATTTTTCTTCAGCCAGTCTATTATTGGTGCACAGAAAAGCTACTTTTTTGTGTGTCTGTTGACTCTTATCCTGGTACTTTACTGAATTTATCAGTTCTATTGTCTACTACAGGGTTTTGTCGGTATAAAATCATATTATCTTTTTTTTTCAGCCTTAATTGAATTTATTGGTACATTTTAGGGATACAGTGCAGTTACATTCATTGTTGGGATCTTGTACCTCTACATGACAAGTCTTGATTCTCATTTTTTCTACCTTACCTCTGCCCTCAAATCATATTATCTTTAAAAGGGGTAATTTAATTTAATTTTTCCTTTTCTTTCTTTCTTTTTTTTTCTTTCTTTTTTTTTTTTTGGTACTGGGGATCAAATTCCAGTCCTTGTGCTTGTGAGGCAGGCAGCAGAACCACTGAGCTAAATCCCTGGCCCTATTTGTATCCCTTTTTATATTTCTCCTGCCTAAAATTTCTATAACTCTACTGAAGAGCAGACAAAGTGGACACTCCTGTTTGTGATCTTAGAGAAAATGTTTTCTGTTTTCTCCCATTCAGTATGATGTTGACTATGGGTTTTCTGTAGGTAGCTTGCATTATATTAAGATATTTCTATACTTAATATATTCAGGGTTTTTATCATGAAAGAGTGTTAAATTTCATTAACTTTTTTATGCAGCTGTTGACATGATCATGTGATTTTAGTCCATTATTCTATTTTCCTGTAATGTTTATTGATTTGTATATATTGAACTATTGTGCATCCCTGGAATGAACCAAATTGGCTTATTGTGTATGATTCTTTAATGTTCCATTTGTTTTGATTTGCAAGTATTTTGAGAATTTTTGTATCTATGTTCACCAAGGATACAGTGTGCAGTTTTCTATTTTTGGTTGTTTTGTCCTCATCCTCATTGTGTTTTTTTTTTCAGTACTCTGTATATTTTGATTTCTTTAGAACAGGTTAGAGGTGCTTTGTTTTGTTTCATTAGTGTCCTTTCCCTTGATTATTTGTGATCCTATGCCCTTCAGTTGATGTGTGCATATTTGAAGAAATTGGAGTCACTTAGTTTTTACACCTTTGATATATCAGGGTAATGGTACCTTTATAAAACCATTTTGAAAGTATTGCTTCCACATCATCTTTTTAAAAGCCTGGGAAAAACTGCTGTTAATTCCACCTTAAATGTTTGATAGAATTCACTAGGGAGCAATTGAGTGCTGGAGTATTTTCCTTTGACAAGCTTTTGATTACTGATTTAATCTGCTTTATCCTTATTGATCTGTTCAGATTTTCTTTTTTGATGTTTTGTCTTGGTAAGCTGTGTGTTTCTAGGAGCTCATCTACCTCTTTGAGGTTATTCATGTTTTTGCAAATAGTTATTCAGAGTACCTCTTTTTGTGTTTCTGTGGTATCAATTATGTTTCCTTTTGCGTTTGTTTATTTTTTGAGATTTTAAAAATTAGGTTGTGTAGGTAAAGGTGTGCCAATTTTGCTTATTTTTTTTCATTAAGTTTATTGGTACTTTTTAGGCATACAGTACAGTTATATTCATCATTGGGGTCTTGTACCTTTACATGATGTGTCTTGATTCTTATTTTTCCCCCATTCCCCTGCCCTCTCTTCACCCTCTCCATGCTTTCCTATTTACAAAGACTTTGCTTCCAGTTTTTCCCTTTTTTCATATTTTTGCTTATATATTTTCAATAAAACAGTTTTCTTTTTTTAATAGTTTTTCTATTCTGCATTTTTGTTCTAATATTTATTATTTCTTTCCTTTGAAGACTTTGGGCTTACTTTGATATTTGGTTCCTCATTCTTGGTGTTTTAAAGTTAGGATGCTTATTTTTGAGTCCCATTCTTTCTGTTAGAGGCACACATTACAATAAAATTCCTTCTTAAAACTATTTCTATATTTCTTAAACTTTATGGTTACCTTTCTCTTTACATTTCTTTTTTGACACACGAGTTAAAACCACTTTATTTAATTTTATAATTCTGTCTTTCATCGATTTGTAATTTCATACTACAGTAATCTTTTTTAGCACTGAGGATTTAACCCAGGATCTTCTCACTGAAATACATCTCCAGCCTTTTTTTGTTTTTTATTTTGAGATACAGGCTGGTCTTGAACTTGCCATTCTCCTGCCTTAGCATCCCAGTGTGTGGGGATTACAAAAGTGTGCCACCTCACCCAGCTAATTTCATAGTAATATAGTCAGAAAAGGCATTTCCTGTGGTTTTAGTCTTAAATGTCTCAAAAATGTTTTGTAGTACAGTATATAATGTATCTTGAATGTCCTCATGTGCTTGAGAAAAATATATATTTTGATGCTGCTGGGCGAACACCTTACCACCTTATTCACTGGATGGTGGTACCTTGCAACTCCTCACTCATCCCAATGTCAAGATGACCATGAATAGTAAATATTTTTAATAGATTCAGGAAATAACAACAACATAACTAAAGATACTCATAAAATAGGCCTTTCAGAACTGCTTCAGAAAGTAACAAAAATGATGGGATAATTGTTTTTAAAGCAAGGGGGGATAATTTAAAGAGGGTTGATGACTATGTATCTTTAATACATTTCTTTCT